AGCACCGGCCCCCAGAAAGCGCCCCCCCCCACCTCTCTGTGCCGCGGCCTATTTTAAAAGCCCCCCTCCCCTCCACTTCTCTTAAGAGCCAGCTCCTGGCAAGCACCAGCTCATGCTGCTGCCTCTGTTTCAGAGGCAGCAGCAGGGGGAGAGGGGAAGTGGAGCAGGTGGCTCCAGTGGAAAATTTTAGTGGTTACACGTTTACCAAAGAACCCCGCTTTTTAACGTCCCTCCTCAGGACCCATTTGTAAGTGTTTATGGATTGTCACAGCCTAGTCTGGAGGGGCCTTGGCTGGTTTAGGTCCGATCTTGCCCCCGAGGGGGAGGGAGAGTTGAGTCCTGCCCCACACTCCCTCAGTTCCTGTAATGTGGGCCGGGCTCTCCGCTCCTGCCGTTGCGTCCTCCTGGGTTACAGCGCTGCTCACTTTGGCCTTGTGTCTCCTCACTGGACCAAATGTGCATTGGAACATGTTGAAACAGGGTGGTGAGCCTGGCCGGCCCAGTGGGACAGGAGATGCTTCATAGCCCTTTGAAACAATGTGTTGACCCAGTGTTGGGTCCTGACCCACAGGTTGAGAAACCCTGCCATAGAGCAAGAGCAGCCAGCCTCTATAAATATCTCCGGAACGGCGAGGTGAATTCCTCTGAATTCAGTGAGAAAATGAATGACGCTCCAGTGCAGGGTAGGAGGAATTTTAAAGGCAAGAACTATCTCTGGCTCTTCCCTCAGCCGCTTCCTGTGTTTTAGACCTTGGCAGTTGCTTCCTTGTCCTCTCTCCCTCTCTAGAGAGGCAGGAGGAGCTGATGATTAGGGTGTGAGCTTGAGAGACCTTAGTTCAGTCCTCTGCTTTATGTGACCTGAGACAGGTCACTTGGGCACATTTTCCAAAGTGCCTAAATATCTTAGGCAGTGAGACTTAAAACTCCTCTAAGTTATTCAGAACACAAGGACTTAAGAGCCAAAGTCAAATAGACCCTTTTGAAAAATGTACCCTTAGTCTCCGTGCCTCAGTTTCCCATCTGGTCGATGGAGTTTACAGAACTGCTGTACCTCCCAGGGGTGCTGTGAGGATTAATACACTAATGATTGTGATGCTCTGAGATGTTAAGGGTAGGTCTAGACTGCATCCCTTTTTTGGTAAAGGGATGTAAATTAAGCACATCCATATTGCAAATGAAACCGGGATTTAAATATCCTGCGCTTCATTTGCATAATGGCAGCTGCCGCTTTTTTTTTTTTTTTGAAACGGGGCTTTTTCAGAAAAACAAACAAACAAAAAACATCCCGGCAGCGGGCAGCCACCATATTTTTTTTCGGAAATGGGGCTTTTCGGAAAAAAATGGCAGTGTAGATGAGGAGTACAGGATCTTTCAAAATGGGGCATTTCTGTCAAAAATGCTTCGTCTAAACTGCTGGGGTTTTTTTTTAAAAGCCCCGTTTCGGAAAAAAGCAGCAGCTGCCATTATGCAAATGAAGCGCAGGATATTTAAATCCTGGCTTAATTTGCAATATCGACGTGCCTAATTTGCATCCCTTTACCGAAAAAGAGATGTAGTCTAGACATACCCAAAGATAATGACAGTCTCAGCTAGGGTGTGTTTTAACACCCCCTCTCAGGTATGGTTGCACTGTAGAATGGGGTGTAATAAACATGCTCCTGCCAGCTTTGCTCTAGCTAGCACCAGTAATAGCAGTGTGGTGTGGCAGTGGCTCCAGATCCAAGGTAGGTACTCACCTGGCCTAAGCTACCACATGCGCCGTTGTGGCCGCACTGCTATTTTTATCATGCTCGCTTGATCCAAGCTAGTGCATCTATGTCTGCCTCCAGCTGCAGTGTAGACGTACCTTGTGCCATGGCTTTTCACAAGGCCGGGCAGAATAGCTGGCGGGAGCAATGTAAACTGGAGGAAATCCACTGAACTAGTAGTATCCTCTAAGTATCCTAGTAGTATCCTGTAAGTTTGAGGGGTCACCGTGTTAGTCTATCATTGTAAAACAACGAGTCGTCCTGTGTCAGTCTCTAGGTTGCCAAATGCATTAGATCCTGAACTTTTGTGGGTAAAACCCACTTCCTCAGATGAGTTGGAGTGGAGATTCCAGAATTAGGGATCTGTAAAACAGCAAAAGCAGTGACCTGTCCATTGTAGGGCCAGTGCTAATGAAGCTAAGTCAGGGCGTGACAGGTGCTGTTCTATATACTAAGGATGTTAGGAAGTGTGTCATTTGGTAATCGTGTAGTGACGACGTTTTTTGTCAGTTACACAATTAATCGATAAGCGGCTGTGCATTTAAAGGAGCTTGTGAGCCGGTGAAACAGGCGCCCTGGCTCAGTCCCAGCTTGTGCTGGGTCTGGCAGCTGCCCCCGCTGCGGCTCATTTAAAGGATTCAGAGCCACAGTGGAAGGAGTGTGTGTGTGTGTGTGTGTGGATAACCAATAAGCAGCCGTTTATTGGTTAATTCCGCGTTTCTCAAACTGTGGGTCCCGACCCCCCAGGGGGTCATGAGCAACTTAGAGGGGGGTCGCAGTATCACAAAGTTTGAGAACCCCTGGGTTAATTGTTTAATTGACTACACTGTTACATCCCTAATATATACCCCAACCGTAAGTTCTGTAATTTCCACTCCGGCTCATCTGATGAAGCAGGTTGTACCCGTGAAAGCTCTTGCCCTAATATATTTGCTAGTTTCTAAGGTGCCGCAGGACTGCTTGTAGTTTTTACTAGTGGGATAATACGATGCGGGCTCTGCCCATTGGGCAATGAGCGTAGGATGTGACCCTAGGCTGCCAACTACAGGTTACCTGCCTGAGGGGGGATGGCAGCCCTGTCCTTGTGTGCGCAGGGCATGCACAGCCTAGTTCTTGTATTGGCACCACACTCCCCTGGGAAGCCATCGCCCTGCCTGGCTGCACACAGACCGGCCGAACTGGCTTCCCCTGACACACGGAACGTCCCGGGTCTCTCCTGGCTGATGCCTTAAAGTCACAACAGAGCTCACGTAAAATGCCCAGGGGCGCCACTGGACTGCTTCAACCAGGAAAGCAAATCGAGTGTCACTTCAGCTGGCCAGCTGATGGCAGTACAAGCCAGCACTAGCACAGGGCCCGAGATGCTGAGCGTGCAGCATCCACCCTCCCTCGGAGCATCTGCGGTTTCGAGCTCTTTTTTGGGGGGGGTTTAAAGATCCAAATCAACTCGGGGGCTGTCAGTGAGCAACATCGCTCTGTTAACTCCGAGTTGATGGGTCTGCTCCAGGAAAACTGGAGTTAAAGGGACCCTGACTGCTTAAAAATCATTCTTTGACCCTTTGGTAAGAAGTTAACCCCTGAGAGTCAGGTAATGGAGAGAGAAGAGTGGGGAAAGGTGTTCTCAGATTTGTTATCTTTGTGCATTTAACACACTGGGGGACTTACCCGGAGTTGCCCAAGTCTTTCAAGGGCAGGGGGCTGGCAGTGTGGGGATGCAGGAGTCAGGGCACGGCTTTAGGGATCTGAGGGGGCAGGGCAGGATACTGAGGGCGTGGGGGGTGAGAGAGTGAGGGTTGAGGGATGAGGAGGGGCTCAGAGCAAGCGGTGTGGGGTGCAAGAGTCAGGGCAGGGAGTGGGGGTGGCCGCTGGTTTCTCCCTGGGGGGGTGGCTCAGGACACATCCCTGCTATTTGCTTGCCTTTGGGGTCCAGCAGGACCTCCCCCCTTCCCACCACTCCTGGGGCAGGGAGGGGGTTGGCAGGGGCTCTCTCTCTTCCCCCCGCACCTCCTGGGGAGGGGGAGGGCAGGGACTGTCTCCCAGGCAAGGGGACCCCACTTACCTTTTCTGTGGGCAGGCAAGATGGCAGAACACCAGCCCTGCTGGCCAGTCCCTTGGTGGTCTGGCTGCCCCCAGTGGACACGCTGCACAATAGCTCTGCCCTTTGGACTTGTTGCCCCCACTGTCGTATTGCGTCCCTCCAAACAGCAGCCCCTCCCTTTGCATGTTATGGAAAACTGTCCCCTTCCTGGGGTTTCTGGTTGTCCTGGCACAACCAAACCCTGAGCTTGCTCTAAGCTGGAGAAGAGAAAGCTGCATAGCAAATTTGGTGACCCTCGCCCTTATGGTTTAGGAGGAGTTCTTAAACGGACTCACAGACAGACACACGGACAGACAGATGCACTCTAAAATACAGAGAGATTTGCTGTCTGGCCAGTTTCCCCTGTTACTCAAGTGGGTCTTTTGCACAGAACATTGCATGTGAAAAGAAAATTTAGAAAATTGTGATTGTACTCGGATTGTAAGATGGTTTGTGGCATGGAACCGAACTTCATGGCACACCGAGGGCTTCCAGGCCTTGGCTGCTGGGGCCTCGAGGTGCCATCCGAATACAAACAATAGTAAAGCTACAAGCTGACAGAACAGATGCAGGACAGACATTACATGTCACAATCCACCGCTCCCTTCTCGCAGGTGGTGATGATACACCTGCTTTGCCCTGTTGGACATGACAGCATAGGGCAGCGATGGGCAACCGAGGCTACTGAGGGGGCTGCATGAGTGGGCCCCCCCCTTCATCTCAGTGAGCTGCAAGATGATGCAACAAAGACAGTCTCCTGGGATAGGGCAGTTTTGCTCACTGTGCCAACGGAGCTAGAATTTGCAGGGGGTGCCAACGGACCCGTAGCAGCGCTGGGATTGGCTGCAGAGGCAGCACCTGGCTCTCACCGTCAGTGTTGTGTGCAATCCGCACCCACCTTGCTTCACGGACCTTTGCTTTGCGTCTGTGTCACGTTAGTAATATCGGTAGGAAAAAAATCTACGCAGAAGGAAAGCAGCGGCGTCTGGCAACCCTGCGCGTGTGGAATCACAAATAAAATGTCTCACAGGATGTACAGAGAGCCCTCATGGGCCACAGATTGCTGATCACAGACACAGAAAGTTGGGCAGCCCTAGCTGGTCTTTTCCTTTTGACTGGAAATGGGTGACAGGGGAGGGATCATGTGAGGATCACCTGTTGTGTTCCCTCCCTCTGGGGCATCTGGCATTGGCCACTGTCGGCAGACAGGACCCTGGGCTAGATGGACCGTTGGTCTGACTCGGTCTGGCCGTTCTTACGTCCCGAGAGGCAGTGCTGAGGGAGAAACTGTGCCCTGAGTTCATACAGGGTAGGCGGTGAAGGGTGCATTGGATATCAACCCCGCCCTAGGCCGCCTTCACTGCTGCAGGTGTCCCTCGAGGTCTTTGTGGGGCTTTCAAGCCAAAAGGCTGTGGGGGTAGTGGGATGGCTTCCCTGCTGACTCGCTGACCCGTGCCCCTCTCTCCCCTCAGATCGAGCTGGCGATCCTGCGGTTTCCCTATGACTCCTGGGGGACGCCGTTCCAGCAGCTCAAACAGGTGGTGGAGGAGCCGTCGCCGCAGCTTCCGGCAGACAAGTTCTCCGCGGAGTTTGTTGATTTTACCTCACAGTGGTAAGCGGGTCTTTAGAGTCCTAGAATCCCAGGGCTGGAAGAGACCTCGGGAGGCCAGCGAGTCCAGCCCCCCGCCCAAAGCAGGACCAACCCCAACTCAGTCATCCCAGCCAGGGCTTTGTCAAGCCAGGATTTAAACCCCTCTAGAGATGGAGATTCCACTACTTCCCTAGGGAACCCATCCCAGTGCTTCCCCACCCTCCTCAGGAAATGGTTTTTCCTCATATCCAACCTAGACCTCCCCCGCTGCAATTTGAGACCTTTCTGCCTCGTTCTGTCATCTGCCACCATGGAGGGGTGAGGAGGGGCTCAGAGCAAGGTGTGTGGGGTGCAAGCGTCAGGGCAGGGAGTGGGGGTGGCCGCGGGTTTCTCCCTTTTCTGTGGGCAGGCAAGATGCTGGAACACCAGCCCTGCTCGCCAGTCCCTTGGTGGTCCGGCTGTCCCCAGTGGACATGCTGCACGATAGCTCTGCCCTTCGGACTTGTCCCCACTGTCGCATTGCATCCCTCCAAATAGCAACCCCTCCCTTTGCATGTTATGGAAAAGTGTCCCCTTCCTGGGCCTTCTGGTTGTCCTGGCACAACCAAACCCTGAGCTTGCTCTAAGCTGGAGAAGAGGAAGCTGCATAGCAAATTTGGTGACCCTGGCTCTTACGGTTTAGGAGTTCTTAAGCAAATGGACTCACAGACCAACACATGGACAGACAGATGCACTCTAAAATAGATAGATTTGCTGTTATGGAAAAGTGTCCCCTTCCTGGGCCTTCTGGTTGTCCTGGCACAACCAAACCCTGAGCTTGCTCTAAGCTGGAGAAGAGGAAGCTGCATAGCAAATTTGGTGACCCTGGCTCTTACGGTTTAGGAGTTCTTAAGCAAATGGACTCACAGACCAACACATGGACAGACAGATGCACTCTAAAATAGATAGATTTGC